CTTCAAAGAAACGCTGCATAAAATGCTGAAGCGTTGATTACTACAGAACCGTATACATACATATACGTATGTGTATATATATATATATATCCACGTCCAAAATGGTGTCATTGTTTCTCTGGGCACCCCGCACAGGAACATGAAGAAAGAGTACCCTTCTTCTTTACAATCACACACTCATACACCCACATCATCATCATCGCAACATCACAACACCATCACTCACACACTCGGCCACATTCACTCGACCAGTCTTCTTCACTTTCTCTGGACACCCCGCGCCATCCTGTCACCTCACCCCCTTTTTCCCTGTTCTGCTTTCGCACGTTCACTCGGTCAATGAATCACGCACCGTCAACCTAACACAGTCCGTTTCTTCTCCCTTCGCACACTCACTCACTGGCCTCATCATCATCTGAATCTTTATCATCACTCACATCATCATGATCATCACTTGCATGTGTGTCGTCTCGGGGGGGAACCTCGTCTGTGAACGGATTGCGAGGACACGTCAGGCGGGAACCCCCTCCCTTTGGGGCCTGGAGCCCATGTTTCTAACCCGATGCGGGTCATCGGCCTCTTGTGACTGTCGTCGCGCTTGGGCTCTTGAGGCGTGAGCCTGGAGGACGTATCAGGCGGGAGCCTCGTCTGTGAGTGAAATGCGAAAAAATCTCAGGCGGGATCCCCATCCCAAGTGGGCCCGTTGCTCACGTTTTTGATCGGAACGGGTCATCGGCCTCCTGTAACTGTCGTCACTGTTGGTCTCCAGGAGGCGTGAACATGGAGGACGTATCAGGCGGGAGCCTCGTGTGAGTGAGGCGCGACGAAGTCTCAGGCGCGAGTCCTTCCCTATGGGGCCCGCAGCTCATAATTTCAGTCGGACGCGGGTCATCGGCCTCCTGGAACTGTCGTCACTTTTGCGTTCATGAACCCTGCGTATGAGCTCTCAGGCGGGAACCTCGTCTGTGAGTGGATTACGAAAAAGTCTCAGGCGGGAGCCCCCTACCTACGGGTCCCGCAGCTCACGTTTCTAATCCGAGGCCGGTCATCGGCCTCCTGTACGTGTCGTCGCGCTTGTGGTTCCTAAGGCTTGAATATTAACTATCAGGTGGGAGCCTCGTCCGTGAGTGAACTGCGACAGTGTCAGGCGGGAGCCCCCTCTTTATGGGGCCCGCAGCTCATGTTTATAATCCGACGCGAGTCATCGGCCTCCAGTAAATGTGGTCACTTTTGGAAGGGTCAAGCCTGGATATGGAACAAGTATCAGGCAGGAGCCTCGTCTGTGAGGGAACAGCGAAAATCGCAGGTGGGAGCCCCCTCCCTGTGGGGCCCGTAGCTCTTTTTTAAAAATCCGAAAAAGGGTCATCGGCCTCCTGTAACTGTCATCACTGTTGCGTTCCTGAGGCCTCCATATAGAGGAAGTATCAGTCGGTAGCCTCGTGGGTGCATTGCGAGGAAGTCTCACGCTGGAGCCCCCTCCCCATGGGGCAGCACTTGATGTTCGAATCCGAGGCGGGTCATCGGCCTCCAGTAACTGTCGTCACTTTTGGGCTACTGAGACCTGAACATGGAGGAAACATCAGGCGGGAGCCTCGTCTGAGAGTGGATTGCGAGGACATCTCAGGAAGGAGCCCTCCCTGTGGGGCCCGCACCTCACGTGTTTTCTGCGGGTCGTCCTCCCGCGCGAGTTTCCTCTGCGTCGTCCTCTGGCGCGTCGCTGCTGGGAAGAACGTCGTGCGTTTCCTCTAGGTCGTGTTCCGCACGAGGAAGAGGAGGAAGAGGAGGAGGATGCAGGACGAGGAAGAGAAGGAGCAAGAGGAGGACGATGATGAGGAGGAGCAGGAGGAGGAGAAGGAGGAGGAGAAGGAACAGGAGGAGGAATAATGCCATAGGAGGCCCTAGGAGGTCCCAGAAGGCCCGTACGGCTACAGGAGGCCCCATGAGGCGCCAGGAGGGCCCAGGAGGGGGCAGGAGGCCTAAGGAGGAGGAGGAGGAGGAGGAGGAGGAGGAGGAGGAGGAGGAGGAGGAGGAGGAGGAGGGGGGCGAAGATGGAGACGAGGAAGAGGCGGAGGAGGGAGAGGGAGAGGAGGAGGAGGGGGAGGGGAGGAGGGGGAGGAAGAGGAGGAGGAGGAGGAGGAGGAAGAGGAGGAGGAGGGAGGGAGAGGGTGAGGGGAAAGGAGGAAGAGGAGGAGAATGACGAGGTGGTGGAGGATGCACGAGGAGGAGGAGGAGGAGGAGGAGGAGGAGGAGGAGGAGGACGAGGAGGAGCAGGAGGGGGAGGAGGAGGAGGCAGGGGTTGAGGCAGGAGGGGGAGCAGGCAGGAGGAGAAGGAAGAGGCAGGAGTAGGTGGGAGAAGGGAGGGGGCAGGAGATCCCCAGGTAATGTTCAACATATTATCACGTGGGGTCCCACCGTCGGATTTGATTCCACTATATGTATAAACATGTATGTGCTAACATAATCAACTACACCATAAGATCGTGTCATATGTCACGCCGCATTGAAGTATAATGCATTATGGCCTTACTGTGTTACCCGGCGTTACAGGTGCAACTTGTGGTATATCATACCAATCATTCATACCTATGTGTACATATACTCATACTTACGTGTGTGTATATACATGCATATAGAATATGCAGATACCAAATGGATCGGCGCACAGGCCCCCGAGACAGCGAATCCGCGCGTTCCAGGGCGGCGCGGGGCCCCGGGCCCCTAACTCGGCGATGAGTGAACGATCGGGGGCCGATGCGTCCACCGCACCCTCCTCCATCTCCTTATCCTCCTCCCTCCTCCTCCTCCCTCCTCTCCTCCTCCTCCTCCTCCTTCCTCCTCTCCTCCTCCTCCCTCCGCCCCCCCTCCACCTCCTCCTCCTCCTCCTCCCTCCCCCTCCTCCTCCAACCCTCCTCCTCCTCCGCCTCCTCCCTCCCTCCTCCTCCTCCTCTCCTCCTCCTGCTCCTCCTCCTCCTCCTCCGCCTCCTCCTCCTCTCCTCCTCCTCCTCCCTCCCGCCTCCCTCCTCCCCTCCTCCCTCCTCCCTCCTCCTCCTCCCCCTCCTCCTCCGCCTGCTCCTCCTCCTCCTCCTCCTCCTCCTCCATTTTCTCCTCCTCCTCCTCCTCCTCATCTTTCTTTTGTGTTTTTCCTTCTCTCCCTCCTCCTCCTCCTGATCCTGCCCCCCCCCCTTACGTTGCCCCTGATCCTTTCGGCGGCGAGCCTCAGGGTTGGGGGGGGAAGTGAGAGGGGGCGGGCCTCCTACGAGGCTCGGAAATCCCCTGCGCGTGCGGGGACTGTTTCTGAGCCTTCTCCGAAAGCACGGAAACCTCTCAGGAGGCTCGACGGACTTCTGAGACGTCCCGCCGCCTTCTGAGGGGGCCTTCTCCTTCTCACTCCCCCTTTTCGCTCGCCGCCGCTCCTTGGGAGGAGGGATAAGTTTTGCTTGGTTGTGCCCAGGTTTGACAAGAGCACGCCATGCGGGAGCCAAGGGCGCTCTTCGGCGCAACGTGATGAACGCGGCGTGCCTACGAGAAGACACAAGACCCTTCCGAGGGCCACATTGCCAGGTAAATGTAAAAAGCCGTGGGTCGCGATGCAAAGGACGCAAGGGTACCCTTGGTCTGGCGCAGGCTCGACCTACTAGCCAGGGCCGATTGTATACTATACAGAGGGCCTTGGTCTCACCCCAGCAGCACGCCTAGGACCTCCGCCAGACAGGAGCCTCAGGGAGGAGGAAGGAGGTGGGACTCCTGCCGTTACTTTCGTGCTGTATCGTGTTCCTCCTCGCACTTTCGACCCCAATGTGTTACCGCAGGGGTATAAGCTGCCCGGCCGTCGGGCGACAAGCATCCCCGATGGCGGAACAAGACATGTTCTACCCTTCCCCGTCCGCTCGCATCCCTCCCCGCGGCCCCCGGGGTTCGTGTCGGCCCGCCGCCGCCGCCTCTGCCCCGCCCCCGCCCCACCCCGACCCATCGGGGAACAAACCAAGAACATAAGCATTCGACTTCTGAGGCGCGCGCTGATTTCTCGGATCGGCGCTGGACCCCCTCGCTGGCGCCCGGAGCGCGCCAGGGGCGGCGCCGCCAGGGGGTTCCAACGAGGATCCAGGAAATCCGCGCGGACCTCCGAACATTATGCTTATGTCGTGTTGTTTTTTGTTTCGGTGCCCGTACAGCGGAGACCAGTCCACCAGAAACCCTCCACAAGAAACCCAACTTTGCGAGCCCAGGACGTCCGTGGATTTTTAGTGGGAACGCCACGCTTTCCATCGCAAAACCATCGAAACCAAAGACACCTAGGGCACCAACGTGTTTTCCTTAGAAAAAGAACGAACCACATAAACACAAGCTTTTGGCGCTCCGCGCGGATTTCTTGAATTCGCGCTGGACCCCTCTCCCTGGCGCGCGGAGCGCGCCAGTGGCGGCGCCTGATGCGCCGCCCGGGGGGCCCAGCGCGGATCCAAGAAATCCGCGCGGAGCGCCAAACAGTTTATGTTTATGGCGTTCGTTCTTCCTCGAAGGGTGCCATGTTGTCCTGGGAGTCGGCGATTACATGTATCTCTGCCTGTCTCCTTCCCTCTCGAGCGGAGAGGACCGCCTCTCGTCGCGGAGCTGCGCCGAGAGCACGCGGGCCCCGTACTCCTTGAGGCGGGCCTGCGTGGACGCCGGGGGGGGCAGCGCCGGGCGCTCGCAGGGGAGGGAGGAGGAAGAGGAGGAGGAGGAGGAGGAGGAGGAGGAGGAGGAGGAGGGGGAGGGGAAGGGGGTGGATGATTGTTTTTCCTACCCCAGGGTTCATCGCACCAGAGTTCGCCGTGGGTCCGCATAGGATGGGCCAGTCCCGCCGCGTTGAAGATGTCATTGGCACCTATGAAGTAGAGGGGCACGCCGAAACCGATGTACAGACCGGGGTAGGCCACCACGCCATATTCCACACCAAAAGCAGACCAACCATAAAGCCTGCAGATAGGTCGACCCTCAAGAGAATGCCAGTCAGTCCCATTCGTTTAACCATCTGTTAACTCCACGGTCGAGGGGTCGGGATCGGCGAGGCTCAGTACTGCCAGGAAGAGGACCTCGCCATAGGTAATTTCCACCATCGCGCAGAAGCTTCCGACAACGTTCCAACTCAGAGACCGAAGCAGTACGACCAGGTCGGATAAGAGAATCTGCAGGAACAGAAGAGGCCGAAGAGTCAGCGCGAAGGCTTTCAGGATGTTGGACAGATTGAATTCCACAATCTTCAGGAAGATGAAGCACACGATCGATACTCTCGCAGAGCTTCTCAAACATCGAGTCAAGCATACGCTGAAGGTCATTAAGGTCCATACCAGAATCTTGAACGACTTCCCCAGGCTCGCCAGGTCCCACACGACGGCCTGGCTCCCAAAGAACAGGCTCGAGAAAGAAACGATCAGGCTCTGGAGGAACTTCAGCACGAACACCAGGAAGGTCGAGGAGAGAATCAGGAAGACCAGCATGAGGAGGATCAGCACGACCCACATGAAGCTCCAGAAGACCAGGCTCAGGAACTGCACGATCAGGCTCTGGAAATGGATCGGCACGAAAACCAGGGAGACGACGAAGAGAATCAGGAAGAACACCAGGAAGATCTGGGAGCTCATGAGGAGAATCAGGAAGACAACCAGGAAGATCAGGCTCAGGAGAACCGACGGCAGGAACACCAGGAGGATCACGATGGCCGGGCTCCCAGAGAACAGGCTCGAGAACCGAACGATCAGGCCCTGGAAGAACCTCGGCACGAACACCAGGAAGATCGAGCAGAGAATCCGGAAGACCAGCAGGAGGAGGATCAGCACGACCCACATGACGCTCCAGAAGACCAGGCCCAGGAGCGGAACGAACAGGCTCAGGAAATTGATCGGCACGAAAACCAGGGAGACGATGAGGAGAATCATGAAGAACACCAGGAAGATCTGCGGGCCCATGGAGAGAATCAGGAAGACCACCAGGAAGACCAGGCTCAGGAGAACCGACGGCACGAACACCAGGAGGATCATGAAGAGCACCCGAAACACCAGCAAGCTCCTGCAACAGAAGGTCCGTTTGGCAAACATTAACCTGTGTTGACGGGTGAAACTCAGCGGCCTCCTTTTTTTAGTCGAAACTTCTTGCGATAGAGTCCTTGGCGCCACCGCCGGTGGCGAGCAGAGTTCCCACGTGAACAGATCGCTGACATGGAGGCCACGGCTTGTGCATCAAACCTGCCAGACTCCGCAGCGAGTAGCACACAATCATTGTGGTTACGAATGTGTGGAAAACCGCAATCTATCTCGAGATGCCGTTGAAGCAGAACCGCTTGTTCCAGTGATAGAACACGAGCGTTGTAGTCAGAATCGCCAGTCGTCTGAGGGATGCCCACAACCAGCTCATCTTTAAGCAAGTGAAGCGCGAAAGCCGCACCAGCAAACGCCTGGGAGCTGTGCACGTTGAGTTTGGCATGCTTACCCGCCTTGCGTAAAGCACCAAAGAGAAGGTTCACGGGAGAACCGCGACTCATGCCGAAATCACTGATGTGAGCGTGGGAATTGCAACCAGCACGTAGCGCAGCAGAAGCTCGGAGGACCGAATCCCGCTGTGGCCTTGAGCCAAAATGGCTACGGAAGGGGAAGGGGGTGGATGATGATGATGATGATGATGATGATGATGATGAGGATGAGGATGAGGAGGAGGAGGAGGAGGAGGAGGAGGAGGAGGAGGAGGGAAGGGAGGAACATCACTTGGCTGATGAGGGAGGCTAAGGGTTAGCCGACCAGACCCTAAGCCGAAACCTTGTGGCGCTGAGCCACCAATCTCATCCACTGCGGCCGAGGCTGCGCCAGGGAACCGCAGAGAGGGCAAAACGCTACCGACGTTGAAAAAGGGCGAACAAGGGCCCTGTTGCGGGAGAATGCACCTACCCCCTGAAGCGGGGTGCCTGACGCACGCGCAGGCACAGCGCGCACACGCACACGCGCGCGCAAGAAATTCGTCTCCATGTATCGGCTCGATCGCTCATCTGCCGCTGCTCAGCCCTTTGCGTCGGCAGCCTGAATCGGAATGCGCAGATACCAACATTGAAACAAGTGTCATATGGCTCCTCCTTCGCCTGCCTTCAGGGCGGGCTCAGTCGTCTCGCTGATCCCTAGGTTGTAGCAGTGGCTGGCAATATAGGGCACCATGTTCGCCTCCCGCTTCTCACAAACGCCGGGAGATGTATGGGCTTCCGTCAAACTCTCAGGATTTGTGCTGGCGGCGTCGGTCTGCGACTTCGCCTCCAGAACAGTGGGTGATGGCATTAGTCTCGTCTTTCTGCGTGCCCTTCCTTTTGGGCTCGCACGGAGTGTGGCGAAAACGGCCGCCGCTGCCATGCATTCTCGCAGGCGCTGCTCCCAAGGCTGTAGCTGTAGTTCTGGGCCCCAGCTTCGCCTCCCACTTCTCGCATGCGTCTAACAACCTCTGGAAATCATTGCAGGCGACGTCGGGCTGCGACTTCGCCTCCCGCATGCCCAGATTCCCAAAACAGTGGATGATGGTGTTGGGCTCGTCCTTCTGCGTGCCCGGTCAACTTCCTCATGGGCTGCATTGTCGCACGCGCTGCTCACTAGGCTGCAGCGTAGATCTCAGGCTCCAGCTTTGCCTCCCACTTCTCGCGTTCGTTTAGCAACCTCTGGAATTCCTTACAGGCGACGTCGGGCTGCGCCTTCGCCTCCCGCATACCCAGATTTCCAAAGCTGTGGATGATGGTGTTGGGCTCGTCCTTCTGCGTGCCCGATACCCTTCCTCATGGGCTGCATTGTCGCACGCGCTGCTCACTAGGCTGTAACTGTGGATCTCAGGCTCCAGCTTTGCCTCCCGCTTCTCACATGCGTATAACGTACCCTGGAAACCTGTGACGGCGATGTCGGGCTGCGACGTCGCCTCCCAAATCCCCTGACCCCACCGTAGTAGATGATGGCACTGGGCTCGTCCTTCAGAGCTCCTGCGCCCTTGGGCTCTCTCGGGGTGTGGCGAAACCCGCCGCCACTGCCCTTCATTCCCGCACTCGCTGCTCCTAAGGCAGTAGATGTAGAACTCGGGCTCCCGCTTCGCCTCCCTCGTCTCGCCCACGCAGTGCAATATACGGGATGCGTCAAACTTCGACACGAAAACTTGCCTGGCGACGTCGGGCTGCGGCTTTCGCCCCCGAAATGCCCTGATCGCCGCGCTGTAGATGATGGCATTGGGCTCGGCCTTCATCTTTGAGCTCCAGCTTCGCTACTCACTTCTCGCACTTGGTTTAGACATGTATGGGCTACGTCCAACCTCCACGGATAATCGGTGCTGGCGACGGCGAACTGCGACGGAGCTGCCACGAGGCCCCTACTCCTGCGCTGTAGCTGATGGCGTTTGGCTCGTCCTCCGCCGCGCAGCCCCTGCTGCCACCGCTTGTCGACCGACGACCAAGCGGCGTAATACTTTGCGAAGTACTGTCGGCCGCTCTGGAAGCCCTTGAAGCCGCGCATCCCGACGGAGGCCGGGCGATGTCGGACCCCCATGGCACCCAAGCGCGCGCCCGCCGCGCGCCGCCCGGAGGACCCAGGTCGCGCCGACCAACTTGAGCCAAAATGGCTTGAGCAAAAATGGCTGCGGGGGAGGGGGAGGAGGAGGAGGAGGAGGAGGAGGAGGAGGAGGAGGAGGAGGAGGAGGAGGAGGAGGAGGAGGGGGGGCTGGCTGGGGCGAGGGTGATGTCATGGGGAGAACGGCTCGGGATACAGTCAACACTGATGGTAAGGATGCGCGACCGTCGAGGCCTCCTAGATTGGGTCCAAGCAGCTGCTGGGGTCGGAGGATCGCGCCGCGCGATGCATCGCCAATGCATCGCCAATGCATCGGCGATGCATCGGCGACATCGGCGATGCGTCTGCGACGCCGGCGCGAAAAAAATCAGTCTCCACATCGAGCCGCATCGCCGATGCATCGGCGATGTGGCGCGCTCATCCGACCCCATCTACTCTGACCCCATCTAGGATGCCTAGCGGGATACCGTCAAAACTGAGAGCGAGGATGCGCGATAAGGTGCAAGTGAGGGGCCCCAGGACATACACATAAAAGCACACAAATCCAAAAATCCCACCAAACAAATATTTGTTCTGGGTTTCCGTCTTTCCCCCCACTTCTCATATTTTTCCACATGTTCCTTGGAATCGACGATTGATGCTCTGTCTGTGTGTTTTCTCCTCCTGAAAGGGTGCAAGCCCCGTGGACGCCCATGTCGAGGCACTTCGAGCGGGCCAGCCATCGAGAGTGGTTTCAGGACGGACCGAGGAGGCAAGGATGCAGGGGTGCCCTTCGGGCTGTCGCTCGTCCTTACAATCAGGTCGGGCCTGGCCCCCTAGAGGCGGTTTGTGGGCCAAAAACATGTTGGGCGAAAAATAAAAGCATACTCAAAACATGATTAAACATAGACAAACATTTTGGGCGGCAAATGCAAGCATACTCAAAACATGATTAAACATAGGCACACACATACTCAGCACATCGTCCCCATACTATGTTTCATATTTTTTAAGGCCCGACTTCACCTTACCATCGGTTTCGACTGCAAGACTGGCTCAAGATGCGCTCCAATATCTCTTCCGTGTTTTACTTCCGCCGACTTCCGCCGAACTTCCGCCGGCGGAGGCGGCCTCGTTTTACTTCCGCCGACCTGCAGCCACGGAAGAGATGACAACTCCTACTACTCGCGAAGGCAAGGCCCTTTTTGGATCGCCCCATCCGGCGGCACAGCCGGTCCAGGACATCATGAGAGAGAGCCACTGGGAACCCTGGAAGCCTTGGGACCCTCGGGACCCCTCGTTGATGTGACCCCTAGTGCTCCCCTGGTGGGCGGCCCCGCCTCCCCGGCCCCTGGCGCTCACAAAAGGTGGAAGCGGCGCGGGGCAGCGCAAGGCTGCCAGCCCTGTCCGGCCCCTGGCGCTGGAGCCGCCCAGGGCCCTCCCCCCCCAGCACAAACGAGCTGCGCAGCCCCAGGATGCCTGGCGTGGAACTGCGCCTTGGATCATCCGAGGGCGCTCCCACAATCCTGGACAACAGTGCCTTCAGAAACTGCCGACGCGCCCCTGCAAAGTCCCTCCGGATCGCGCATCCAATGTCGCCCCCGCCATTGTCGAGACCGAAAGAAATGCGGTTTGGGCTGGCATGACCTCGAAATTCTAAGAAACCTCCTTGTCCTTCAAAACTATCTCCCGCATCTCATTCCAGGTATCATGAAGGAAATGTCGTGCATATCGGGAAGGCATAAACATATAACGCACGATCCGAAAGATCATAATCGCCTATGGCCCATACGTAGGCGACGGCAGGGGGAACCAATTAATGCCCACTCCCCCTTTCCCCCAAATTCGAAGTTGGCAGCCGCGCGGGGGAAACCGACGTCGAAATGCAAGTCATCAGGCCCGCCGCCAACTTCAAGCATTGGGGGAGGGGGGGCATTGACAGATGAATGCGACACGAGCGTTCGCAAATTCACTCCGAGGCCTGGATTTCGCACTTGGGGGAGGGGACCTCATAGGCGATGGCGGTCCCTTCCCTCACGCCTCAACAGGAGCCTTGACATAGTTGTCCGCGATTGCCCAGTCACGTAGCCTCACAACATGGCGAGTGGAATGGAACCTGCGTCCGCCACGAAATGCAATGAATGAGTCGCTCTAGACGGGGAGTGGGGTGAAGAAGAGGCTCGGGAGGAGGATCAGCAGCCCGGGAGGTGGTGGTAGGGGAAACCAAAAGGTACCGATACCACTAGCCCCCGGACCTCTCCCTGGGCGTATTCTGACCAGGATTTCGAGGCGAATCCAGCAGCGGTGGCGACGAGGGCGGCCCAGGAGGCCCCAAAAGGGGAAAACGGGGGCAGAGTAGAGGTATGGGTACCTTTTCCTCCTCTGAGAATTGGTGGTGGAGCTGGGGGCCAAGATCCAGGTCCCGAATCGCTTGCGGCCACCAGGGGAGAAAAACGCATAGTTACGCTGGAACCCTTTGCACCTTCCGCCCCGCTGCCTGCGGAGTGGCTTGCCACCCCGGCACCCGAGCCAGCAACGAGCGCCGCTTCGTAATTACCGGGATCCTCACCATGCTTCGAGCATACAAAGACCACCTCACGAGAGGGTGTGTGGTTGACCCAAAAGGGGGTCCAGCTGAAAGGGGGTGGTGCAGTTAGGTTCGGGCCAATGGCACTGTAAATACATTGCGCCAGAGAATTGTGTTTATTTGTATTGCAACTACCGCATTGCACGCGAAAACCCAGCACTACATGTGCGCAACGGAACGTACTGCACGCCCCAATTGCAAGCCCATGCACCTACAGCACCATCATATAATATACGGCACCACACCCCTTCTCGAGGGCAGAACGGCGCGCGACGGGCGCGAGAGGCCACGGAAAGCGCAGGCGGGGCGACAAGGGGGAGGAGTCGGCTACACGCAGGAGTGACCCTGGGTAAGAGTGACCTTTGGTGCGCGGCTTTTTTGGGGCCGCGGGGGGACCAAACCTGGGCGCGCAGGCCGCTGCTCCTGCTTCATTTTCAGCCACCTGGGGACCCATCTGTGCCCGCACCACAGGTCACTCCGGCGAAAGGTCACTCTTACGTCTAGTCGAAGGAGGAGTGGGAGGCCCCCCCCCGAACCCTCCGCCACGCCTCGTGCTCTGCGATCACCCGCTGCTGCTTCTGGATCAGGGCCTTGTGGGACCGGAGCTTCGCCTCTCGGTGGGCGCCCGGAGGCCCCGGCGTGGCCCTAAGTCGGGCCTGCCCCCCTACAGGGGGACTTTCAACAAAAAATATGTTTTATTAAAGACCCAAAGATAATCAAAAAAATGTAAAAAATAGTCTGGGGACTATTTTTGGAGTATTTTTGTTGCCTTTTTGTGGCATTTTGGGGGTATTCTATATCTCTCGTCGAACATCCACCCGAAGGGGGACACGCCCGACATAAGCGAGCGATGGAAGAGTAAAGGCATTGCATCCACATAAACCCTGGGCAAAAATCCTGGCAGAGGTCCCTGAGGGCCACGAGATGCCAAAATCAGATAGTTCCCTGGATTGTTGACGGATTGTACTGCTCTCGAATCTTCTTGGCGCCGTCACCGGCGCTGAAGCCAGGGCCGTACGAGAACCGTGTTGGTACATTCTTTGGGCCCTCGGAGGCGTTCTCTTTCTTTCTGGCGCGTCCTCGGATGCGTCTGGAGGGCTCACATAACGAAATCGAATATGAGTTTCGGTGCACTAGCGGCGCACCCTCGCGAAGGACCTTGTCTGTCCCATCGTAACGCTGTTCGCGTAGAATAACAGAGGAATCCAAGTCAATCGTCGAATCAACATTGAATACGTGTCGAAACCACGTCGAAGCCATGTCGAACCTAAGAATCTACAACTTATGACTTGACAGACAAGGTCCCCCGTAAATGCAAAGTGAATGACCTTCACGTCTTCCTACTCCTGACAGAACAGAATTAGGGACCAGAGCTGGCGAGCCTGGTACAACACAACACTGCATCAACACATGTGGATCACTCGCCAACTGGCAGGAACACGCCATGGATTGCAACACACTCCTGCGATTATCGGTCCATGCTCCGCTCACTGATTGACGAAGCACATGCAGGGATGTACTGTGTGAGCTTTCCTGTATGAGAGCGGAGGAGGACGTAACCCAAAGTGCCAGTGCCAAAGGCACTGGGGTTATTTGTGGGAGCTTCGTGACAGGCTTTGCCGCAAAAAGACGTCATGGCATCCAGAAGGCGACCGCGCACGCACTAGTTGGGCGCCCGAGTTATCCGGGGTAACTCGGGTCCGGGGTAACTCGGGTTTGGATTCCCGAAAAAGGAACCCGAGTTAGCCCTGACCTGAGTTACCCCTGATGATTCGGGGCTCTGGACGCCCGAATTATCCGGGGTAACTCGGGTCCGGGGTAACTCGGGTTTGGATTCCCGAAGAAGGAACCCGAGTTAGCCCTGACCCGAGTTACCCCTGATGACTCGTGGCTCTGAACTAGCCACGTCCTTGAGCCGACAAGCGGCCACGGAATCCCACAAGTCCTGAGGGAGCAGGTGGCTCAACGGAACCCTCGGTGTCGTCAACCCCGCCAGACCTCCTGGTAGCCTTCGAGCTTGGCGATGGTTGCGCAAGTGGAGCCCTCCAGAGGGCCCCGCGGTGTCGTCTGGGTCTGAGCACACCGCAGCCCCGCCAGACCTCCCGGGAGCATTCGAACGTGGCGATGGTTGCGTCATTGGAGCCCTCCAGAGGGCCGCGCGGTATCGTCTGGGTCTGCGTGTACCTTCCCTCTCTTGAGGCCCTCCCACGGCCACACGGAGGGAATGCGACGCTTGCGCAGCTGGCAAGCGAGGACCGCCCCAGAGGCTCCATGAGGGGGGAGAGCGAGGAAGGGCATCCGCATCGGCATGCTCCCCCCCCCCCCTCTGAGCCGAGGCGTCGTGCTGTCTTTGGGCCGCCCCCAGGAGTCATGCGACTTACCACCGATGAGGAGCAGAACGTGCTGAGGTCGACGGTGTCGCCAGCGACTGTGAGGCAGATCTCTTCTTCTGTGGCGGCATGGGACGCGCCCGTCTGTGCCAGCAATCATGCACCGGAAAGGAGGCAAGGGCCGGGACAGGGCACGACTGCAGGCACCACTCCTCGGGAGGCGCCTCTGCCCAGCTTCACTCGAAGGAGGAAGAGAAACTGCAGGGGGGACCTGTGGATCAATGGGGAGCCATGGGGGAATGTCTGGCAGTTGCAGCGAGAAACCATAGGGGGGAATACCTGGCAGGGTCACGTGACGTCGCGCATCGCGCCCCGCGAGGCGCGGTTCTCTTCGGCCACCACGCCGCCGTCTTTGGGAAGGGCAGCCGCTCTGGGCCAGACCGCGACATGCCAAGTGTGGTCATCTCCGCGGGTTCGGACTGGCAGAGACAGCGAAGAGACTCTCAGCCGACCACCCCCTTCGCTCGTGGCCAAGCGATGCTCGCTGGACCCCTCTTGACGGCGCCCGCCGTGGTCTGCTTACGCCAATCTCCCAGACTACCCCACGCGGCACGCTGCAACGCACAAGTGGCGCTGCCTCCAGGCAGACATTCTCCGCCACGAGAGCACCTTAGAAACACCAGAGGCAACAATCAATATCGAAGAACCTGGCCTGCGTTGACCGTGTCGCGAGTGTCGCGGGCATCTCGAGCGGATGCCTCACGGCGCAGCTAATGACGGCGCCATTGTAGGAGCAAGGATGGGCGACACCACCACCGCCAGCGCAGGGAGCCAGGGGTGGTCCAACAGGTGGTGTGATCCCCCTGTCTCGCCTGAAGCGTCCCTTGTGCCCAGCTCGGGGAGGCATCGTGGACCTCCTCGCTGGAGGCGGTACCACTGGTGGTGTCGCTCTCGCTCCGACAATCAGATGAGGGCACGGAGAGACAGCACGTGTGAGACGTGCGGCCAGTTCGTGCCGAGACCAACTCTGCGATGGCTCCTGGCACAGCATGGATCGCTCCATCCTGAGCTGGGACGCGCACAGACATACTAGTACTACATGCGCTGCCTGCTTGGAGGCGCGCGTCCGACCAAAACATCTAACCACCAGCTCCCGATGATAACCCCCTGGGGATGATAGAGCTCGGGGTCCAGGGGGGGATAATACATGTTTCCCCCAAGATATTGACCGAATGATGAAGATGCTGACGATAATGATGATCAAGATGATCCTGAACGCTCATAAGAATGATCCTCAGCGTCCGACCCGAGCGTATGGTATCCCCATCCTGTAGCAGACCGTTGCCCCAGCGGCGTGGCCGGGACGCGCCTGCCACGACGCCCACACTGGAAAGATTTCTCCCTTCAGTAGACCTCCCCTTAGTGAAAACGGCGGGGGACTGAATTCGACGGACCTGGACCCGCAACAAGGACGGCTGCGACGCCCTCTCGCGAACCGAACACGACCAACTCCTCAATCGACGTGTCAGAGTAGGAGGTCTGTCCACCGACGAAATAGTTTTATATATATATATATATACACATATATATATATATATACTCAGATAATGCCCATACGTAGTCCAAACATCATCAAACATCGTCCCCGGGCCATGTTTTGACTATTTTTGAGCACTCCTCCCGTAGCGGGGCAGGCCCGACTTAGACATAAGTGTTGGCATGTTGGGGCGAGGCCGACGAGCGATCTGTGGGACAAAACACAAAACAAAACACACTGTGGGGGGAATCAAAAACACAAAAACACCACACAAAAAGGCACTGTGTTTTTGTGTGTGCTGTGTTGTTGTGTGCTGTTTTTTTCGTTGTTGTTTTTTGCTTTCCGACACCGCCGATCGCTCGATATCCACCGACGCCGGGCCAGCAGCGGCGCGCAGCCTCGACCGCCCGCGCGCCGAGGCCCCCCCGCCTCGCTGGCACGACGCCGACCGGCAGCCGAAGGGGGGCACGGTCACTGAGGAACAGAGGAACAAGACAAACAAAAAAAAACAAGATGTAGGAAGAAACACCTTAAAAAATCGGTGGGAAAACACACACACACAGATGTTTTCCCACCGACTTTTTCTTCCCAACAGCTTTTTTTGTCCCGCAGAAGGGGGGCACGATCACTGGTGAACAGAGGGACAAGACATACGTGCACATGACATGTGAACGTCCTCTTATCCGGTGTTGCGACATTGGGCGGAAGGGGGGGGAGGGGGGGAGTCTGGCTCCAGACGTCTGGTGAATGCGACTGTTTGCAGCAGTGCGTCCTACGGAGGAGGCTCCACCTGCTTGAAACAGGCGCCACGAACGGCCAAGATCTACTCCACGGGGCAGGGAAAGGGGGGGTGCGAGGCCCCGCGCCGATCGGCAAGACAATGAGCAAGTCACTTTCTGCGAGCTCCGAGACAGTATGCTTATACACTGCGTCTCCCTCGAATGGCTTCGCATGACGGCACATGTGAAGGGGCCCTGGGACACACACATAAATACACACAAATAACCGGATCACCCATGTTTCCCTGTAGTTTCGGAGTTTTTGTCTTCCCCCCCACTTCCCATATTTTCCAGGGGATCGACGATTAATTGTGTCTGTGTTTTTGTTCCCTCCTGAACATGGTAAACTGCTAGTTTTCTGCTGCTCCCTGGCATCGGGCGACCCGCTGGCGCGTCACCGACGGACGCCGTGCCCGCGCCTGGGCCCCAGTCCGAAGCCCGCTTGGGAGCGCGGGGCGCAGCTGCCAAGCACCCCGGGGGGGGGGGGGGCGGGGGAAGGGGGCGCAGAGGGAAACGCTCCCCTCGCCCCCCTTCCTCCCTTCCCGCTCCCCCTCCTCCCATCAGAGGAGGGGGAGGAGGAGGAGGAGGAGGAGGAGGAGGGAGGAGGAGGAGGAGGAGGAGGAGGAGGAGGAGGAGGAGGAGGAGGAGGAGGAGGGAGAGAGGGAGGGAGGGAGAGAGGGCGAGAGACGTGGAGCGAAACATACGACAGCCACACAAACACCACAGTAGAGAACACGAAATGCGAATCGAATCGCCTCTGGGGCCCCGCAGGCGCCTGGGTGCACGAGGAGCGCCAGAGAAACAACCATGTGAGAACCTATGGAACAGCGCGCACCTTCCGATCACGAGCTGCTCCTTATTTCAGCGTTTTGATTATACGACGCCAACGACTCAGAAAGGCGCACTGGCCAACTTACCAAATGCGACCCTCTGCGCGAAAAAGTGGCTCGGGAGATCCCGCACGGATGCTGTGCAATAACCCTCGATACCCAAGCGTCGAAGGCGGCGCGCAGCGCAATGGGGCGGGGGTAAGAGCACAAGAGGAGACAGGCAAAGAGCGAATTTAAGCAGAGCACGTGTGGCAGGCATTAAGCATTAAGCAACGGGCGCATCCCCCCTCCACGCCATCATCCTCCATCGCCCCTCTGGCTCCCCAAGACTCATTCCATCCTTCTCCCTCCCGACCCCCCGTCCAGACATCCGACGATCCATGTGTGATGATCCCCAAAATTCAATTACGGGACCATGAGTGAGAAGAAGACAACACGGCATGCACATAGCGGCACCGTCGGCGCCGCCAGGGCGGGGGCTTAGCGCCGATCCAAGAAATTCGCGCGGAGCTCCGACAGTGTATGTTGGTGTTGTTCCTTGCTTTTGCGAAGATGGGACGCACATAGACATGCTAATACTACATGTCCCCCTTGGAGGCGCGCGTCCGACCAAAAACATACAGTATATCCCTCTTGTAGTAGATCGTTTCCCGAGCGGTGTGATCAGGAAGCGCCCGCCACGACGCACATACTGTAAGATCTCTCGGTATGCGCGTCGCCCCTGGGGGGGCGACGCACACACAGCATTAGCGGGGTGCCGCCGAGACGAGTCCGAGATCGATGAGCGACGCTGGGACCTAACAGATCTCACAATCCTCGGATATCTGGGCCCTCCCACCTCCAGGCCCGGCTCCCCGCCCACCCCACCTCCTCTCCCGCCTTCCCCTGGCACCGCTCGAAGCCCCGACGAAGCGTGGTCAGATGCCTGGACTGTTCTTCCGCTCTCTCGTGAGACTGCCGCTGTCGCTTCCGACGAGGGCCCTTGGACTGTACAAGAGAGTCGCATACAAACGCTCAACCCTCTTCTACACAGGAATAAAGAAACCGCATCAACATAATCTAGGCCTCCTAGATGAGGTCGGAGTAGATGGGGACGGCGGATTGCGCCGCATCCCTGATGCATCGCCGATGCGGCTCGATGCAGGGCCCGATTTTCTCCGCGCCGGCGTCGCTGATGCACCGCCGACGTCGACGATGCATCACCAGCGCAGCGCCGGCGCATCGCCGATGCATCGCCGATGTATCGGCGATGCGGCGCGATCCTCCGACCCCACCTACTCCGACCCCATCCACTTTCGCCGGTCCGCACGGACTTCTCGGATCTGCGCCGGGCCCCCTGAGCGCGAAAAGTGTACGTATGTGGCGTTCTCCCTTCTTCGATTCTGGGACTCTCGCTCCTGCCGTGGGGGACGACACCCCCTCTCACCATCCTGCTCCTCCTGTAGAGGCCTCCTAGATGGGGCCAGAGTAGATCGGGTCGAAGGATCGCGCCGACTCGCCGATGCATCGCCGATGCATCGGCGATGCATCAACGATGCATCGGCGAGGTCGGCGATGCATAGGCGACGTCGGCGTGGCGAAAAGTGGGCCCCACATCGAGCCGCATCGGCGATGCATCGCCGATGCATCGGCGATGCGGCACGATCCTCCGACCCCATCCACTCCGACCCCATCTAGGAAGCCTAGATCCTCCCCTTCCCCATCCCTTTAGGGCCCCAGCCGCCGCTGACCATCCCGCCGCCGCAGCGCTGGCAGGGGCCTCTCGGACGACGGCTGCGCACAGGAGTCCGACGAGGTGCCGGCGAGCACCGACAGAAAGGGGGGGTCCTCCTGCGTCCTCCTCCCACTTCCTCTTCCTCCCACCTCCTCCTCCTCCACGTTCTCCTCCACTTCCTCCTTCCTCCACTTGCTCCTCGTCCTCCTCCTCCTCCTCCTCCTCCTCCTCTCCTCCTCCTCCTCCTCCTCCTCCTCCTCCTCCTCCTCCTCCTCCTCCTCCTCCTCCCTCCCCCTCCTCCTCCTCCTCCTCCTCTCCCTCCTCCTCCTCCTCCTCCTCCTCCTCTCCTCCTCCTCCTCCTCCTCCTCCTCCTCCTCCTCCCTCCTCTCCTCCTCCTCCTCCTCCTCCTCCTCCTCCTCCTCCTCCTCCTCCTCCCTCCTCCTCCTCCTCTCCTCTCCTCCTCCCTCCTCCTCCTCCTCCTCCTCCTCCTCCTCCTCCTCTTCCTCCTCTTCCTCCTCCATCCTCCTCCACTTCCCCCTCCGCTTCATGCTCCACTACCTTACTCTGCCTCATATTTCTCCTCTTCCTCCTCCTCCTTCTGCTACTGCTACTCATGGCATGAGGTCCTCACGTTCCTCCTCCTCCTCCTCCTCCTCCTCCTCCTCTCCTCCTTCTAATCTTCCTCCTCTTCTCATCTTTCCTTGCAAAATACGCTGCCTCCTTCTCCTCCGCCTCCTCCTCGACACGCGACGATCAAATATCCAAGTTTCTGGAACGCTCTCCAAACACTGCTTGCGCTGGGGGCTTCCGCTTCGCCTCTCTGGGAGCAAGTTGCCGGCGGTGCCACAGCTTCGCCCGAAGGGTCGCGCGTTGGGTACCGAGGTGCGCTGGCGGGCGCTGGCTGGGTGCAGACACGCGTCGACTGCACCACAGCTTGCCGTCGCTCGGACGCCCGAGCGCCTCGTGTTCTCTTCGGGTCGCGTGCGCGCACGGTTTGCCCGAGGCTCCGGTGGCCTCGAGAGCGCGTGCCACCGAGGCCACACACCCAATTCAGAAAGTCTGGGGCGAGCCCGCATTTTGCCGTGTCGCGAAATACCAGATATTCCAGCAGCACTGGAGGAAACATCATCAACATCATCAAACATCATCGGCAGCGTGCATTTGTTCGCCCGAGGATCCAGGATGCTCCTCGAGGGTCCTGGCCGAGGAACATGCATACGTCCGAGCGATGCCAAAACAGCCCCTGCAATGCTTGGATTATGCTGCGCAATTTACAACCCCTAGATTGCACGACGTGTGCTGCACCACATGTGGTCCTTTCCTGCGACGAATTGGACTCAACCCCACCCCGAAACCAGGGATATCGGTACACATCCGATGATGTGCTTCACCCGCTCGCGCATCCGATATACCAAATGATGTGATCCCAACTAGGCCGATACCACCACCCGGCCCACCCACCCTGGCCAACTTCTGCACAACACACAATTCCGTGCACATGATTTGATCAAACCAATGCCTTAATATCACCCGCATCAGCTGCGTAATGCAATGCGGGCCACATGCACGCGCATGCCCATGTCAAAACATGCACTTGCAATCGTAATTGAGCATTTCAAGACCACGTCGAAAACATTCAACGACTATCGCGCGCCCACCAGCTCTGTCAAGTACTGTCAAGAACGCGCTGCAAGGACGCAAGACCCTGCCCGGAAAACATAGCGATCGGGCATCAAAGGCCCGGCCTACCCCTGCCAATAGTAAGACGAAGCCAGGACGAGGATAATTCGGGTGAGGGGAAATCGAGAATCTCTGAGATCCCGCGGATCTGGAGGATGTCTTGGGCGCCGCGGCCTTCTCAGAGCGCCCCAGGACGCCCTGAAACGGATTCATCCTCGTCCTAGCCCCGTCCGAGGTCGAGGGGAAGAAGGAGAGACAGAAGAAAAGAAGAAAACAACAAATCTGGCCCGTCGGCGGCTCGCAACCGCGAAGCTCGAAACGCGGCACGTCCCAGATCAGACTGACAGAGCCGTGCTGCACCCACCTGTGTTACCAGACGACGCTCGGTGCACCGCGGTCGTCCGTCGTACTGCTCGCAGTCGTGCCGCCCGCAGCGCTGCACGACCCTCTTCCGGGTGCCCGAGGCGCGCTGCTGCTCCCAATCGTATGTTGGGGCATCGCGTGGCGCGTCGCCAGCAAGCTGCGCCCCGACGTGCTGTCCGCCAAGCTGTAAGACCCACTGGGCATAGCCCTGGGGTGGCGCCAGGCGTGGCGTTTGAAATGCGAGCACAGACCCAGCGGCTTTTCAAAATCGCACCTGCCAGAATGTCTGCCTCCTGGGCGCCATGTAGATGGCAACACGCAGGTGGCACCACACATAGATGATACCAATAATATCGCACATCGATGATGCAATAATCCGTGGTGTAGGTGTCCACGCTGGAACATATGCGTGCCCCATTCCAGTACCGCAACGTCCAAAGGTGCCTGGGGACCTGGGAAGAGCGAGAAAAGAGTGTCAGGATTCGTCTGGGCCTCCACGCGAAAAAATCACGCGTGGTGTTGCGACGAACTCACATATACTGATGCTGCGCCCATGCAAGATCCCAACATGGAACGCGGAATCAAGACCGTGCTCCTGCATCCGTGCGAATGCCACCTTGCTGAATTACCCTAACGAATGAGCATATCCAGAACAATCCTACGACACACAGCACCCAATTCAATGCTTCACACTAAAGTGTGCACCGCAGATGCACAATGAACAAGCACATCGATCTTTGTATATAAAGAGCAATGACACCTACTGAATGCATCCTGGTCAATGGCCCCCCCCTACATGCATGCGCGAAATCATGCTTGATTCGCACCCAGGGAAGCGCAATCCAACTGCGTAGCCTCTCATACAGAAACCTATCCTGTAGCGTGTAAACCTTGTCCTACATGATCATATAAAGTAAGCCCAGGAAAAAGTGTCGCACAAACTCCCAATGCATCACCGTTCACGCACCACTGTTCATGAATCCAAAATTCGCCGGCCCAGCGGGCCAGAGGCGTGCTAAGATCTCGGGCAACTGGTTAACAATATTTAAAGTTCGCACGCGCGGAGCGGCCCCTGGGGGCCCCCTGACGAAAAGTACCCCGGCAACTAGCCAAGAGAAGCCCCCAGAGCACTCCAGGGGAGGGGCATTCTTCGGCACCCCTCGCGAGGATCGTGGCCTCCGAGGGGGGAGCCGCAATCGACTACCCCCCCCCCCGCCCCAAGAGGCCCCCTTTTTTCCCTTTCCAGCTCGAGGGGTCCAGATTCAAGCGAAGCACAAGCTGCATCTGCTGATAGCTTCCAGCACCGCACGCCTTCTTAATTCCGCCTGAGGTAGTACCCAGAGGAGGCTCAACCTACGAAGCCTACGAATCCTAACTGCTGAGATGTGGCCCACTCTCGGCCACTGCCGCACTGGCCCTGCCAGCGCGCTCCCGAGGCACGCAGCCCCCCGAAGGAGCGGCTGGCCTCTAGGCACGAGGATGGGCAGGGCTGGAGTCCTTGCCACGCGCACTCCGACCACCTTTCCCCCTGCCTCTGCCACGGCGCGGGACTTGGATACTGAACTGCGGTCCCGACTCCAAAGACGCCGAGGCAGGGGGAGTTACTTCAGTCTGCACACCAGCACCCAAAGAGGGCGAGGAGAGAGGAGGAGGAGGACGAGGGGGAAAAACGAAGCCCTTGGCCACCATTGCAGCCAAGCGAGCACCGCTTTGCAGAAGGGACGGCAGCTGGATCTCACTCACTTGCTTTCGTCCAGGAATTGGCTGATGGCTCGCTCGAGCGGGCCGCGCGGAGCTGCTCCGAATACACGCTGGCCTCCCTCCGCCACGAGCAGCCTCTGAAACCAGTCGTTGATCATGTTGCTGTACTCGCCGTTCGGAGGGAAATGCCACATGATCATGCACTGCTGCTCCTGGCCCTCGACCTTCTTGTGGGTTTTGATCCTGAAGTGCCCCGCCATGGTCGATACCTGCGCCACCGTGGACGTCGCCAATTTGTCCTGGAAGAACAGCCGCATCTCTTTCACCAATGTCTTCTCGTCGTCCTTGCCCGCCTCTGGGACCACGCGGCTGGCTCCGTAACCGAACGTCGCCATGAAGACCGACAGGTACGGGCCGCCACGCGCTTTGTGGTCCACTGCCTGTCCCGAGGCGGCCTTCTTCTTGAGCTCCTTGCTCTCCGTGTCGTAACGCTTGCCGGCCGCGAGCCCCGCGGCCACGAACGGGCGGCCGACTCCGATCTGGTACTTCACGTACGCGACGCCCTCGAGGTCTGCGATACTCTTGCTGTTCGCCATGACCAGCTTCGCGATCGGTACGATGATGTCTTTGTGCTTCGGCTTGTCGGCCTTGAGCTTCTTGGCGGTCGGGGCGTCCTCGTCTTTATGTGCTGGGCCGCCGCCATCTGAGCCGATGTTCGAGAGGCTGCACCAGGCGGGCATGGTAACCTTGTCTATCTCCATCGCGGCGACCTCTGGCATTGCGAATCGATCCTGATCCACTGGGCAACTCTGGTGTCGCTCGGATCTCACCTGGAAGATGACTCGGCACAAGATGGCTGCACAAGTCGTCGTAGCTGCCGCCCTCATATTCACAACATAAACAGTGATAGCTTCGAAGAGGCTGAAGGCCTCTGGCAGACAATAACCTCGCTTGAGCGACCTTTCAAGATGAGTTGCTGCGTCCTTTCGTGTAGCTAATACTTGCTTGCAACAAATACACCCGTTGCTCGGCGATATGACATAGAATAAATTGCGTATGTTATGGGCCCCCTTCATGTGTGATAAGAATGCCCCCTTGGTTGTAAAACTCGCCCCGCACACGTTCCCCTGCTTGCTGTGGCTACAAACAAAGTCTCTGTCTCCTTTTCCTCGCCCAAGAGGCCCCCCAAAAAGCCCCCCAAGAGGCCCTGGGGGCCCCCAAGACGCCGCCAAGGAGCCCCAACAGACTCCCAAGAGGTCCCCAAGAGGCCCCCAAGAGGCCCTAAAGAGGACTCCAGGGCCGGCGGAATGAGCGAAGCGATTAAATAACACATGCCACCCCATCCATCCTACATAACACAGCTAAACTACGTTCAAGTACCACGCTGCCCTTGTTTAGACTGCTGACTTGCCAGACTTGCGCCTGGTTTACAAGATCGCTCACTCTTCCCTCAAGACTCGGGTAAGGGGGACTCGAGTTGGCCCGACGGGGCCATCATGAAAATGGCGCAACCCAATCTGAGTTTTGACGCGGGAACCCGCTGCAGACCCCTCCCTACAACTGGACCGTCAGACTCCAGGACGGGCTCGCCCACGAGCGTAGGCGAACCCGAGTTCCGGCGTACTCGAGACTTACGCGTCCTCGACTTCTCGGCGGTGGACAAACCTCCCTTTAAAAGACCTCCCCTTAAGGAAAACGGCCTGGGACCGAAACCGACGGACCTGGACCCGCAAAAACTGACGGCCGCGACGCCCTCTCGCGGAACGAAAACGGCCAATTCCTTAGTCGACGTGTCAGGGTAGGAGGTCTGTTCACCCCCGAACGTCTTCTCCTTCGAGGAGCGATTTCTTCCCGCGAGGCCCTGCCCTTCACCCAACCGAATAATTACTTTGAATATGTTTGACTATTTTTTGTAATATGTTTTGAATCGGATTGATTTTTTCGTCCAAAATCCCCCTGTATCGGGGATCCTCTGACCCGGGTCAATCCAGACCCGGGTCAGCAGGAAACCAAAAACTGCAATGCAGGAACAAAAAAAAACTGCAACGCAGGTCTTCGCAAACCCGGGTCAGCCAATATGCGCGGCCGCCTCGCGGCCACGAGCGGCTCCCAAACCCGGGTCGGCCAGAGGGGGTCTTCGCAGGATCCTGCAGGATCTGGCGCCCTGGCTGACCTCCGTTAGCATTGACCCCCGTCTCAATGCTCCCGACTGTAGGGGGACACGCCCGACTCAAAGGTAGTCCCGGCTGGCCTCAGCAGGCGCCCAGCAGAGTCCGCGGCGGTCTCAACATCCCACACCCCTGGGGCGCGGGCGGAGCCGGAGGCGCCGCCCTGCTAACTAAGGCTACTCGGGGGGCCTGCAGAGGCCAGCTGGGACGACTCGGGAGGCCTGCTGAGCACAGCGGGGGCCACTGGTAGGGAGCCCACAAGAGGACGCACGCGCCCAGCCATGTACATGAACACGGCCCCTCGATCCGCGAGACTGGCCGCGTGATACGAACATTTGCGCAGTGCGCACTCTCGAAACCAACGCGGATTCATGTACATGCACGTTCTTCCTGCGCTCCTGAACTTGGAGGGTCTGTGGAGGTCAGCCAATTGCAACCTCCTGGGGAGGGGGGGCTGCCTGTTCGCAGGCCGAACCCAAGCATGCGACGTCCTGCTGTTCGCAACGCGGGGGGTCCAAGACACCCGACCCCTCTCCCCAGGGCCCCCAGAGGCCGACCACGGCCAAACACCTCCCGTCGTGGTTTCTGTTAGTAAGCCACCTGCGAAGCCTACCCCAGCATCCCGCGTTTTT